GGGAAGTCAGGATGGATCCAAATCTGTTTCCTGCTGGAGGGTTGCCATTTTGTAAAGTCAAGAGCACTGCAATTTAATGGTAAAAATGGTTATTACAAAACAATTTTGATCTGGGCAACACTCTATCATTTTTTCTTAGCTCTGCGGTTAAATTCACCTCAGAAAATGCTACATATTTTTAGGTAAATGTACCTTTCTGCCTTTCCTCCTTGTTCCTTTAGTAGAATTAGTTATTATTACATCCTCCGATGCACTGAGAAATAAAATCTCTTTATGTCTTTACCTTCTGCATTGTCAACAGAATGCTTCATGCTGCTAGACTCTGCATTCAGATTTTTCTTACCTTTTTAGTCTAAAGATTACCTCAGAGAAATAATTCCTCCCTTACGTTGTAAGAACTGTTTGTTTCAATGAACATCTTAAGGAATTACAGCCGATATTTGTGAAAGTCATCATTGCCTCTGCCTGAAGGCTGAAGCCATCCATGCCCTCAGAGCAGAGAGCAGAGGCTGCAGGTGTGCGTCAGCAGCACCGGCTGGTTGGGTTTGGAGCGGGCTGTGCAGCATACTGATGAGCAGGGCACCACCGAGCCTGTTCTCCAGGCGAAACACAAGCTAAGGCTCTGTACGTTTGCTATAAAGGAAGCTCACCCCTAAAAATCTGTGAAGAGTGATTCTGAAACTGGTAATGAAAGCATGTATTTTTAGTGAGAGAAAACAACTATCAGGGGGTGTGGACTTGTTTTTAGTTTAGAAATGACTGCAGGAGTTGCCTCACTTCTGCTGCCTGTTCCTGCACCCTGCAGAGCACTGGAGAGGGCTGTGTACACCCGTTCCTCTGCAGAGGCTGATTTTAATCTGCCTGCGAGGAAGAATCTTCTGATTTTGCCCTGTAGTGATGAGTTATGTGTACTAGCTTCATTTTTCAACTCTGCAGAAAGAGCATTAACCTCAAGGTGAAGTAAAAGCCAGCAAACAGCTGGAAGTGCTCACTTCTTGAACCAGCGCAACTACATCTGGTAAAGGATGACTGCTTGTGCCCAAACAGATGAATGTTAGCTCTACCTATATACTCAAAAAGCAGTAAATCATTTTGTAAGACGTAAAAGAGCTGTGCAATAGTAACTACTAGTCAGAATTCAGTTGCTTTATATTATATGTATGTAGGTTGGAACTACATTACATTGAATTGTCTTTTTTTTTTTTTTTTTTTTTTTTGAGGCAGTTTATTTAATTGAAGAAATTGCAACAGACCAAAAAAAAAAAAAAAAGCAATAAAATTACAATTAAATTGGCAATTTAAAAAAGGTGGTAAGTGATTGTGAATGTCTACAGTATAGAAAACTCCAATATAAGAAAAACAAAGCAAAAGCAACGACAAGAAACCAAAGACATCATCAAAAATATATTTAATGCAACCTAAAAAAAGGAAATGTTTAATTTAAAGTTCCTTAGCCAAGAAAATGACATTCTGAGGAAAATCTGTAGACTGAAATGATTGGTGACTTACAAAACAGATAGAAAACCATTACTGAACTAAGTTCCTGGAGAGTTTAAAAAACAGTCCTGTTACAAATAAGGTGAGTTTTGAGAGTTATTAAATGATAATCACATGTACTGGGATTCAGTAATATGAAGAAAGACTAAGTAATTGACTGTGTATTTAGGGAACAAGTACGGTAAGCTCCTTTATTTGAGAGAAGTGGTTGCTGTGGCCATAGAGAGAGGGGACAAAAATGCTGACTTCAACAATCAGAGGGAATAGAAGCCAATGTAAATTGTGTGCAACACAGCTGGAAAAGATGGAGGCCTAGGTTAATTCTAACATTTCGAAATGGTTTTAGCTAGAAAGACAAGGAGCAACTGATGAACCAAGGAGCTTTGAAAACGTGGAATGGCATTTGATGGGCAGTGAAAACAAGATAAGACCTTTTGGTCATGAATTAAATGCTTGTATCTGCTTCCTAGGCACCTGCGTGTAATCCTCCCTAAGGATTTAATGGGTAAAGACTTTAAAGTAGCTAAGTGATTCAATAGCCTAAGTCTTATTGATTTTCAATGGGATTTAGGTCTGTAAATCACTTAATCTCCTTTAAAAATGCAACCTTTTGTCATTATATGGGACAAAATAATCTGAATCAGGTCTCAGATTAAAACTGAGACTTTCTAAACACAGACCCTTCTGACTCTGCAAACTTATCAGATTTTTTAACTTTTTTTTTCACTTTCTCTGTGACTGTTAATTCACACTTTGAATCTTTAGCTTCTAAACTTGCAATAGAGGATAGGAGTTTGAAACAATAGCACTACTGACTGGTTCTTTTTCTCTCTTTTGTGTTTAGCTACAGAACATACTTGCAAATTTAGATATACTAAACTCTGGCAGTCTCCTCTGCATACATCAGCATGTCCGTAGCACTGATTGAGGGATGGAAAATAACCATACTGTGGTCTAACAGTTTGCCAGAACACTTCTTTGTTTTCTTTTGGAATTCATTACTCCTTACTAACAGAAAATAGATGGCAGAAAGCATTATGCTGAACAGTTCACTGTTCTGCATAGCGTTCTGTTTGGATTACATTATTACTGGTACATTAGAGTGGTTAAAAATGTATGTATTAAGTGCAGTAAAGAGGTAGGTGAGCCACAGTCACAATTTTACAAATCACTGCTCTGCCCTCTTTGGAAGCAGGACAACTATTATTGATACATCCTGAAAGAATTCATCTTTGGGAAAAAAAAACAGGTTTTGTTCCCTTGCTTGTGTGTGGGGGAAATTGTCCTGACATGCCTGCCCAAACAGAACAAGGATAATTGGCTTATACCTTTCTGGTTGGGAATATCACTGATATCTGTAAGTAATTGCATATGCTGTGCTGATGAATTGTGTGCCTTACAGTTGAAGACTACCAGGTCTAATCAAATTATTCAGTTGATCAGTCAGTTGTTATTTTAATTCAGTTGAAATTTATTTAATTAGATATGTAATGACAAGTGTGGCTCCAGATATCAGAACTGCAGTGCAACAGCACTGGGATCTGGGAGAACTGAAGAAATAGTACTGCAATTAGATAGCATTCTGCAGTAGCAGGAATTCTCAGCTGGAATTCATGTATAAGGATATATTTACGTGTGTGAAGGGCTGAATTACAGATTAGCACTTTCCTTTTTGAATTTGGCAAAGGTACAGACCAAATCCTACTCTCATGTCTGAATCTGTCTAAATCTCTAGAGTTCATTAATTTATGTGAAATTATTATCATTCTAATTGGCATAAAGAGGTAACGTTAGATTAACAGAAGCAGGCATATTGATTACCAAGAAAATAGAAGTAGACATTTAGTGGATTTTTACGAGCTTAATAAGGATTTTTGTCCTTATGGAAGATAAAAGAATATATATATATTTTTTATTTCACATAATGCAGCTAGACAAGCTCACAGGTTTTGTTTTGTTTATGTTGGTAAACACCAACATAACTATATCTGCTTTTCATGTGGAGTTTGAAAAAAAATTGGTGTGGTATCTATATATATGTTACTTCAGTTCCTATTTGGTAAAAATTCTTTAAATAAAAATGTGTTCTTCAATTATTTTTCAATCTGATCTGATTGCCCCGATGGTCTCAGATGCAGACTGAAAATGTAATAGATGCTAAGACACTTAATGTGTAGAATAGTCTAGTGCTTCTCTTGTTGAGGCTAGGTCATTCTTCCTGTAAAATACATGAGAGCACGGCAACAAATGGAGTAAAGCTTGTCCTCTCCTATTCTGGAATGATTAAACTGGGGAGATCTGATTCTTCTCCTGCTTTACAGTTTTAAAATTTTAAGAGATCCTTAACAGCCCTCAAGACAATACAGGACAGTGGAATGAATTCTTTCCATCCAGCTTGTTAAGAAATCTCTATGAAAAATATTTTGTAGGGGGAACTTTCAAGAGCCTAGATAGATGCCAGTAATGAAATGAATAAGAACTCCTAGGTTATTATTTTTTTCCAATAGGTTAGCTATGATGGAGAACTTCATAAACACCCGCAGCTGGAAGCTGATTTGATAGCAGTGAGAGAGATCTATGGACCTAATGCAGTATCTCTCAGGTATGTTATTTACTGTTTTTATTGTGGAACCTTTAAAAATTTGGAAAATGAGTTCTACGTACACTTACCCTTATAGCTAAAACTATGATTTCTGTGTATTTGGCAAAAGATAGGAACTCTCATAGCTAACAGTAATGCTGGATTTGGCTTCATTTCATGGCTGAATACTCTTACAACTGCCAGTGTTGAGAGCAGGCCCAGGAAGCCTGTTCTAAAACATTGTCTTTTGCAGTTCAGTAGGTAGTTGATAAGGCTGTTGTAATTTGTTGAAAAATGCTATTCAGCATTACACTAAACCCTTGTTAAACTCTTTCTCTGTCATATTGTCTTCTGCCCTGGAGGTGAACAAGACAAATGATAAGAGATTTAGTAAATATTGTTCTTAGGGAGAGGGAGAAGGAGTTGGCTTTGTCTAGTCCGGAAAAAAAAGACAGAAGCTGTTTGTAAACAGGAGTGATCAAATGTTCTCTATTGCTGTAATGAGAAAATAAGAGACTAGATTGTGGGCAGCAAACAAGAAATTAGGTAGATTTTAGGAAAGATTTCTACTGTAGTAAAATTGGAAACTGAAGAGCTCTACTTAGGCAAATAGAGGAACCTTTTTCAGAGCTAGTTAGAGTTTACCGAGAGATTATGTTAAAATTTTCAGGGCATGTACAAGTGTGCATGGTTCTGCTCTACAGCATGGTTGTATGATGTATTTAATTCACTTCAAGTATTTTATAACTTCATTTTCCATCTATATAATATTAATAATTTCATTAAAATAACAGGCAAGATGTAACACCTGTCAGAAAAATTACAAATACAATATCAAAACTGACATACAACAAAGTAATGAAATATAGAGAATATTAATATAGAGATAATAAACTTAGGCATACATATATTGCAAGTAACAATTCCCATTAACCTCTAAACGATAATCTCTTTTATTTTAGTCCAAGAGATAATGTCTACAAATATGGTGTAATGTACCTTTTGAAATTAAGTGGAAATTCATTACATTTCAGAGATGTATTGAACTGAAATCCATACAGTTGTGTATTGGCTTAGGCAATGAATGAGATAAATGTCTAGTTGCCAAACTATTAACTATGAAATTGAGAATACCTTGATAATGTGCTCCCTAAGGCTTCTAAAATTGGAACATGGTATGTAACCTTTCAAAAACTTTAATGCGTCTAATTTGTTGAATCAGTGTTTCATTATGACCTCCTTAGGCTCACTGTAGTAGAAATTGGCATTTGTGGCTTTTGGCATGTAGAAAACTTTCGTGCTTCTTGCATTCAATTACAGTGGAAAATACTTATGAATTCTTGGAAATGATAAACACAGAATTAAGCATTCAGTTTCATCCCTCTCCAACAGCTCCACTTCTCTGATTGCAACAAGCTTATCTAACAGTGAGACCCATGAAAATGCATTTCATAGAGAGCTGACCTTATTTTTGTGGTCTCCTACTGTCAGAAAGGGAACTTAACATATTAAAAAGCAAAATTCCTGCACCTGCAAGCTTCTCATTGAAAAAGTGTCAACCGATGTTTGAAAAACTGAGAGTTAATGCACTTTTATACCAGGTGTGCTCCAAAAGCATTGCCTCTTGTTCTGTTATGTTGGCCCATGACGTCAGAAGCGGATGGTCGTATGGCAATAATGGTTGAACCTTCCCGACAGGATTCTGTTACATTTTGTTGCCGTGCGACAGATGAAACATCAATGAGCATAAGTTAAATCTGCACCTTGGGAACTTTAGCAATACTGCACACAGCAGATAAAATAACGTAACTATTGCCTTGAGCGCATTGTGGGGCAATTGCTACCTTTTGACAAGCAAATACTTGAATGTATGAAGCAATCCCACAGGTATTATATGCCACTTTTTAGTCTGTGTTATATTTGTCTTCAGTTGTTTATCTCAAGGCTCTGCTTAGGTTACTGGCTATAAACCTAAAATACCTGTGAAATATAACTAGGGTTTTCTTTTTTTGTAAATAGCAACAGTGTATGACCATTATTGTTTCCTTGGTTTGTTTGTGCAATATGTTAGACAAAAATAGGTGACACCAGTGGTATAAGAGTTTGGGAGAATTATTTAAAAAAATAAATTAAGAAGTTGCACCCTACTTAAGCAAGATCTGAAAGAAGTTTTTCAGTGCAGCAGACAGTCACCCGCTGGATTTATTGATCCGATCTGTGTAAAAGTATATTTATACACATTCTGATTTTACAGACAACATTATGCTTTATCGTTATCCTTTATAAAATCTTCTCTGTTATAAGTACTCCTTAGGCTGAGGCTGAGAAGTATCTTAAAGAGCTTTAATGTAATGCCATTCTTCCTTTCAGGGAATATGGAGCCATTGATGATGTAGATATTGATCTGCATATTGATGTTAGCTTTCTTGATGTAAGTAATCTAATCACAGAACTACATAATGAACTTTAATACCCATTTAATTCTGCTACACTTCAGACTCTGAGACAAGTACTGAGACCTTCCTTTTTCAGAGGCTTGACCTTCAGAAGTTGTCTTGTTATTGGTTGCTACCCAGCAGAAACATTTCCTTTTCCTTTTACAATCACAGTTTTTAAAAGTTTTTTATACTTTTGTTTACTATATATATATCCTTTAAAATCCTCTTTGTGAATGGCAAATGTTTTAAGTGATATAAAGGGTTTCCTTTTTTGCTACCTTAGACATTAGTTAGGTGAAAGCACTTCATACAATTCTGAAGGAGGGATGATTCTGGCCATGATCTAGGCTTGTTTAGTAATAGGGGTCAGTACATTAGTTTAAAGATTAAGCAAAAAGAATCAATAAGTGCTGGTCATAAAACTTTCCATTTTAACTTTGCTCGGTGTGTAAACAGCTTTGTTTTTCTCAATGATCCTGCTTCATGGAAGTACTGGAGTCACAATAGATTACTTTTATCCTTGCATCCACCAGGTGAAAAGACTTTTTCCTTAATTTCCTGTATATTGTTTTGGATTATAGTGCACTAAGATAGAAAATTGCTCATTATGGCCTAACGAGCAAAGGAGGTTTGCCAAATTGAGGAAAAAGGTCAGCCAAAAGTCACTATGATTAAGCTGGTGATGGAAAAATGGGATAAAGTGGTTGAAGACGACCAGAGGCCACTACCGTGCATGCACAGAGAGATATTAGCATATATTAATGAGTTCTTGGAAAAGAAAGAATATATTTACAAGCGTACTGCATGTGTCTGTCTTAATTGTTTAAATGTAGAACTTCCAGAGTGCAGGCTTGATTTGTCAAGTTGTCTTTAACATATTGTAAGGAATAAAGAAATGCTGTTTTCTAACATTACACTGGGGTTAGTTTTCTTCCCAGATTTCAGATGTCAGCTGGAGCTCTCCTCTATGCTCCTCATCACCTGCAGCTGATCAGGGAGAGGCTTGACTAGCAGAAGAGAGACAAGGCAGTGGTGCTGTTGATTGACAGCATGGCTTCTGTTATGTTGTCATTAACTTCACACACACACTGACCTCATTTGTGCAGTAGCTGCCTGTCCTGGACACAGAATCAAGATAGTGCTTTTAGGAGCGTCATTAGTTTCAGCACATATGTATCATATTCTCAGGTCAGAACTGCACATAAGCTTTTTGGGCTCTTGTAAAATTTAAAAGAACTTGATTGTACTTTGAATTATTTTAGTCATTCATAAGAGGGAGCAAATGTTTGCTTTGCCCTGTGTTATGGTTTGAGTGTTTTCCATTTTTAATTCCTTCTTCTCAGCTCTTAAGCAGTATTTCTTGATAGATGGAAATGTGTCTGCAAACACTGCAAATGTAGTGCCTTGTAGAAACCCACGCTCTGTTGAAATGGGCATATTCTGACTTCAGAAACAGTTTAACACTGCTTTTAAGAGAGTTAGCAAGAAGTAGTTTGTCCTCTTTCACATCTAAATATTCCACGATTGGGTAAATGGATAGATGGTGTTTATACCAACTCTTAAGATAAACTGACAAAATGCAGCTGTTCTTCATGATGTTTAATGGTGTCTCTTCTCTTTTTATGTTGAACTAGGAAGAGATTGCTGTTGCTTGGGATGTAATTCGCACTGAGCCCATTGTGGTGCGATTGCACTGTTCACTTACACAGTACTTAAGTGGTCCAGGTTAGTCATCTGTGTATTTTTCATGTCCCTTGTGTGATGTCTTGTTCTGAGACGTGTCCGGGATGCTAGATACTCATTCACTACTAAATCTTTGACTGTGCATGTGCTTAAATCTACTGCTGAGGGCAGTCCCACTGGTATGAAATTATGCTTATATGTATTTGCAAGATAAGGCCCTCCATAATGATATAGGCATCTTTTTTTTGTAAGTTTTCTCAACTGGTTTTCTTGATAAGTTTTGAAATGCCACTGTTTCCATTAGGAAGCTGAGGGTTTAGGAATAATTGGCTATGCTGTTTCTAACATGAGATTTTCTAACTTTGGAATTGAGGGATCATCTTTACAGATATCCATGATTGGGTATACATACAGATCTGGGAAGCATGTCAACATGCCTTTTTTTATGCAGCTTTGAAGAATCAGACCATGATACTTATGCTGCCAGCTTCTGATTTTTGTATGAATGTGTGAACTCTGGGAGATCCATAAAGTGGAATGACAATTTTGAATGTCATGTTTGCATTCTACCCTGGTTGCTGAGTTAAGCTTCCTCATGGGAGTGAAAATGGCCAAACTTATGCAGAATCAACTGAGATTGAAGATTTGTATTCATATGCAACAGTCAATTTCAGATATATTTTTACAGAAGAAAGTCATAACCAGATGTGTAACTTGTATTGTAACTTATCTGAATTTGGAGACTTCCGGTACAAGCTGTCAGTTCAAGCTTGTATCTGTGGGGGAATTTTGCCTCTGGAAAATGAATAGATATTTTTAGTCATAACATGTTTAGCTAAATCTGTCCCAATAAGCTATTTTTGTAGGATATGTAGTCTGCTGATGCTTACTATAAGCCATGTTCTGTTCATTCAAATGATCGTTATGTTACATCACTCTTTTTTTTTGCCTGACTTTGGTCCTTTTGTTTGTACTTTATTGCTTCAATTTTTTCTGTAAGTATGCAAGTTTTAAAATACGTATTTGCCATAGCAAGTAGCAGTGTTAGTGTTAACAATATTTCTATCAAAATGTAATTTAAAAAGTGCAGCACATAAAAGAGAGTGAAGCGTGAAGAGCTTCATGCGGTAAGAAATGATATAGTGAAATAAGAAGTAACAAGAATTTGTCTTTTGCACTGTTGCCAAGGTTAGAACAGAAAGTTTACTTCTGAATCCTGCAACTCACTGATTGTGATAATGCATTGGTATCAAGAAAAGCAAGATCAGGGTCAGAGGCAAATGTTTTGCTGCTCTAAATGCTATTTGAGTCAGGTCAGTTTATTCACCAGAAAAGGACAATGAGACCCACTATTTTTTGTGTTAACAAGATCTTTTTTCTGCATACTCCTTTTCCCCCTTGTAAATGTTGTTTAGAGACTGTCAATTTCCTCTGTGCTACATAATTTTCTCTTATAATACTTTCTGTTGATAAAATGAATGAGTATCCTTTGTACACTCCAAAGGAGAAGGAGAAATTCTTATCACCTCATAGCTATTTAATATTTTGATTTTACACAGTCTTTCTTCTAGTTAATACCTAGTCTTATGTACCAGTTTGTCCCAGGTACCTTAGAAACCTGTCTTAGATTAGGATGAATCAGCCTTTGGAGGTACTGGACTACCTCCTCTGACTCTAGAGCTTTGACAAGAGTTGTAGATTTTAAGATTACTGGAACTAAGAATGATGATTCTCATTGAAAATAGTCACTGATACCCCTAATCAAGTAATTTATCCTCTTTAAAAGATGAAGTTCGGTTTGAATGAGAATCTTAAGTTAAAACTATCTGCAGTGCTTTGGACCAAGTCAAATTGGGTAGCAGGCTTAGATGCATAATATTTTTTTAATTGTGCATTTATTAATGGAAAATTAAAGAGTAAAGTTTGGCCTTCTGAATAAGAGTGATCAGAATAATACAGATTTAAAATTACTAATTTTCTCATGAAATTTGAAACAACCTCAGATATTTTGCTTTCATTTCATTTTTATTTTACTACGGTCATTATCTCCTTATGTAATACAAAGTCTATTTGCGCTTGTAATATGTGTTGGTTGTTCTGTTTCAAGGACCTGAGTCTCTTTCAAGAGGTGCTCAAATTCACCTGCCTCTTCTATCTAGTAAATATCATTTAATAATTTTAGTAATACCAGGAGGTAATTTCCAGTCTCCATCTCTTATGCTTTCAGTTTTCTGACAGATGAGTAGGAACATATTAATGGTAGGATGGAAAATTCAAGGTAATCCTTGGCAATTGGAATGCATACACCAGACACTTAGTTAATGAGTTAGGATTATTAAGGATCTTGTATTAAAATGCTCTCAGAAAGAAAACTCAGATTCTGGTTAATTTGATTTGGTCTGCTTTCATTTTCTTCACGTTCATATGAACTGTACCAGTGTGGAGAAATAATTGACTAGATACAGGATTTCTTCATATGTGGATTCAAGGTCATATCGTTTTATACATTTTTATGAGGAACATAAATTAATTTTGCCTTTATTGCAGAATTTTCAATTCTGAAATAGAACAGCCTTCTCAAAAATAAAAAATAGTCATGTACAATACATCTTTAGAAATCTCTGAAAGTCAGATTAGATGGGAAAACTCAGATTTTTTTGCAGAAAACCTGGTATATGTCTGTTGACATACTAAATAAAGTATAAAGAAAGATCTTCCTGGGAAAGGGCTTAATTTAATTGTCAGTTACAAAGAAATGAAACCATTGTTTTTTCAATGACAGCATGTTCACTTTAGTCTACAGAAACTGCATGTAGCAGTTCATTCAAGCAGACCCACAGCAATTAACAGAAGGTGTCATATAGAGGCACCTTGACTTTTCAAGTTAAGATTTTCTATGCATAAATTTACAACTAGGGTATCTTAATTTGTGTGTATTAAGAGTACATACTTAAAAGAAAATTTTAGAGATTAGATTAGATGAATTACCAGCCCAGATACATTTAATCTGATGCTGCTTTCTAGTACTAAAGATACATTTATATGATTAACATCGGTGGGAAGAGATATGTTCTAGGGAATCCAATTTTTAAAATACTACTTTGCAAGATTGCAACTTATATTGGCTAATATTCTGAAAAGGAACATTCATTTCTTCATGGACTCAGGTAACATGACCACTTTTACCATTCCTTCAGTGACACTGCTTGTAGTAAATGTTCAGATAGAATAGGGTCCTTAAATATGACTTTACTGTTGTAAGTTCTTGGTTATTCCTTTAAGTTCAACAGTGTCTTGTTTTATCATAGTGCCAACTGTGGATGTATTTCAGATCTCTACTAAAGAAAGATTTGGTCTGGGACATCAGCTGAAAAAGTAAGTCTGAAAAAGTGCTTTTCAGTATTCTCTTTCATTTCCTAAGTAAATATTACATATTTTTTAGTTCCCAGTAGAATAAAATCTGCAAGGTTGTCAGGTTAGTTGGATCAAAGTTTCTTGAACTTGTTTTTCTTTAAATAAAATTTAGAAAATTTGCCTTTTTAAGCTTAATTTTGACAGTTGTAGCACAGAACTTGATTTGTGCTCCCTGCCAGAGTTTTCTGTCACTTTAGTATCATTTAGAAAGTAAGCTATATAAGTTTGAAAAGACTGTAGCTGAAAGCGTTCGATTTCATGTTTCTGCTTAGGTTGTAAAGTCTCTGTAGCAGGAGTCTGTTTGAGCAGCATGAGTACTGTAAGGGGATGGTACTTTCATGGTGGCCTCTAGGATTTACCACAGTAATGAGACAACCCAGGTTTTGAGGGCTGGAAAAAAGAATGCGAGAGGACATAGTAGGATTTTCACGTGTTCATGGTATAATTCAATTTAATACAATTTTGCTGAGTCATCTTTTCATATATGCTTGTTTATATGTAATGAAATGACGGGAACATAGGCTTTAATGTCTGATCCTTACAGCAGCAGGAATTTCTTCAAGGAAAAAATATTTTTGCTGTTTGGAGTTTAAAGCAATTCAGTGCTTCACTTTCATAAATCTACAAATGAAACTGTTGTTGAAATCTTTCTGATTCATGACTTTGAAGAAAAAAATTGAAAGATCCTGAGACATGAAAACTCTCTTAAAACATTTTAGTTGGAACACTCACAGATTTGTGCAGTTTTAAAATAAGACGTTTTTGAGTACGTATCTGCGTATGTCACAGATAAGCAGAAATCCAAATACTCAGAGACCCAATGGCCTGTTATGGCTGTGGGCACCAGGATATTCATCTTTGACGCCCACACCTGCTGCCATTATGCCTTTAGCACTCACAGACCCTGAATGCTAGATTACAGTCATAGAACAGCATAGCTTGTAAGGGACTGCTGGAGGAGGTCATCTAGTGCAACCTCCCACTCCACGCTGTGCTAAATTCAAAGTCAGATTAGTTCACTGAGGGGCTCAGGCAGCAGTGTGAATATCTTCAGCCTTTGTTGGGAGCACGTTGTACTTTACTGCTTTTCTTGCGGATGCTATTTCTTTGTAGTCTTTATGGTGGTGGTGGTTTTTTTTAGCTTCTCTTGGTGCAACATTTGCTGTGCACCTCAGGGAAGTGTCTGGCTCTGGCTTCTCTCTAAGCCCCTCTGGGTAGTGTAATATTCAATATCCTGCCTTCGTGTTTGTGCCTTAGGAGTGTGCACTTGAGGATTGTGGCTCCTGGATCTTTCTTCTGCAATCACTGGCAGGGCAGACACCTAGAGTTGAACAGAATGTCCCTGAATTAGTTTATCTTTAGATCTCCTTGAAAGGCATATGTATATTAAGTCCTGGAGTGATTGTTCACACAGATTTTATTCTCAATAAGAGTTCCATGTGAATAAGTTCCATGTGAATGTGGGAGGAAAAGAAAGGATTTTGAGGAACTAAATTGCCCATTCATCAGTCTACACATATGACAGAGAAATTCTGACTATAGAGCGAGGATGTTGCATTATGTAGGCTGCTTTGTTAACAGAAGGATACTAATATTAAAGTGCATTTGACTTGGCTACAATAAGAAAGTCTTTTTTTCTTTCTTAATTTGCAGAATAATGCAGACATTTGTAACACAGCAGTGGAAGAATAGCAAAGAGAAATCTAATTGTACGCACAATAAGAAGGTGTCTGACAAAAAGGTGAAATCCCCTCTGCACATCTTTTCTACATTGCGCAGGTAATAGCAAGAAAAATGAGCTTTTATCATCACAACCAGTTCAAAATCCACAGCGTACTTCACAAGGCGAAGTGTTGACTTTTCTCAACAGGGAAGTGCTCTATTTATATCTTACCTCATGGGTTTCCAGTCCTTGCCTTGCATGACTTCAGAAGCGAACTAGGCGCTATTGCAGCTTCTGTAACTATGTGAAGTGTGTCAGTGCTTTGCTCTCTGGAACAGCCATGATTCATTTAAAACTGGAAGTCATTTTATATTAGTTAAATTAGTTGTATTTGTATTTTTACTAGCTTGGTAGCATCTGACTGTTACTTGAGTAGCAAGACTTTTTATATGTATTTTTGTGATTGGCCAGCAGTTCTTTCCACAGCTGTGTGTACTTTTTTAATCTTTTAAAACTTGAGTAGTCATTAATCCAAGATTGAATTTAAGACCTCCTGAATACCTACTGCTCTCTAGTATTTGAGTTAAATGAGTGTTCACCACTTGTGAAATGCAGGCACAGAATTTCAAAAAACAAAGGTATTAAAAATGTAAGAAAATAGTTTATGAATAGTACAGTGGAATTCATTATAGTTCTTCTAGTTACTCATACTCTTAAGTGTCTGTAAAACGAGGCTCTGATTTTATGTCTTTCAGGAAAATGACTATTTACTCTAACATGTTTTCCTGCTTATAAAAAGTTCACAGATCACTTCTTTCGTGAATATCTGTTGAGTGATTTTCTTTTGAACATTTATTCTTTTTTATGAATTTGGCAATTTTAAATTCCATGAATTTAGAGAGAGAGAGAGAGAGAGAGGGTACTAACTCATGTTTGAAGCACAGAGATCAAAGATGACTAAAGATTTGTCTTTTCAAAGATAGTTAACCTGTTCAACACATTGTGCAATGCACACTGAAGGGTTGGGACTTGGTTTTGATCAAAAAGAGGAGAGGAAAGCAAGCCCAATCTTTCTCATCTTGCTATGGCAACGGCTGCTGTAGTTCCAAAGATCACTTTTAGCCCAGATGTGGAGACTTTCCCTCCCTACCTGAATTCCTACCTCCTTTCTGCCCTACGGTGGTCATGAGTTAACTGCAAAAGTGAGTCAGCGAGCTCCATATGCATTTTCCACTGTCGCCATTTGATAACATTGTGAGGAAACTTGGCAGCCTCTGGTGAACCCCTTGGAGTTTCAGATCTTTTTTCTTTGATTCAAGACCAAAAAAAAAAAGATTGGATTGCTTATAAGCTATAGGAAAACAATTTGGAATAGTGATACTAATTCTCACTTTGCAAGGACAGGTGAATGTGAACATTACAGTAGTGTAACAATACACATGCATGTTGTTTTGTAAAAGCCTTTTTGTTCTTTAATTCTGTATTCATAACTTGGATCCCTCACATTCTTATTTCTAGAGTTACAGAGCTAGAATCTGTCTAAAGTGTGACAGAAGAGCATCAAGTGGGCTTTCACAAAACATTGAGATTACTGTGAGACTGTAAAATTAAATAAAGAAAAAGTTAATTCCAGTTAATTTACAATCTGCAAGTTTCATTACTCATTATATCTATTACAGGATCTGCACATAGAATTTGTTATGTTATGTCTAAAAGACGGTAATTTTAATGGAATCATGCCATTATTACTAAATAGAAAAGAGATATTTTGATAAAAAAATGTGTTAGAGTCCTTTATTTTTTTAATTTGAAAAATAATTTCCTGAATGAATGGTTTGCTTAAAGATGTAGGAACCGTACCAAACGCTGTAAGGGTATAGCTTTAACTTCTACTTAAATACTACTAGAGTGTTTATGTACACTAAGCTAAGACATCTATTTGGTATTGGGAAATTGGTTCTGCAGACATTTGCTCTTTTTGGGGGAGGGAGGTGGGGCTCTGTTTATCACTAGTTAAATTCATAAAGACAGGTAGCACTTAAAAATTAGTATGTCTATCTGAATTTACTTGCTTTTTTCAGTTTTGATTATGCTCCAACTATGTCTTCCCCCTCTATGTTTTTAAGGTCGCCAAGTTATCCTCCACCTGGCTGTGGTAAAAATAAATCAAAACTGAAGTCAGAACAAGATGGCATCTCCAAAACTCACAAGCTACTGAGAAGGACTTGCTCCAGCACAGTTAAGGCAGAGGATGTGTGTGCCACAAAATCTCACAGAACCTTTGGCCGCTCATTGTCTAGTGACCCCAGAGCTGAACAGACAATGGCTATTAAATCGCACAAACTCTTGAACCGTTCTTGCTCTGCAGCCGTCAAGCAGGAGGAGTGCATTACTTTAAAGCCCCACAAGTTATTAAGTAGGTCATGTTCTGGGGATCCTCGATGTGAGCACAACAGCACCTTGAAGCCCCACAAACTTTTAAGCAGGTCTTACTCTAGTAATCTTAGAATGGAAGAATTGGATGGATTGAAGAATCACAAATTACTCAGCAAGACCTACTCCAATGCCCCTAAATCATCCAAAATGGAGCCTTTCAAGGAGTCCAATATAGCAGAGGGCAGGCGGCTCTCTCTTACCTCAGGGCTAATTGGTATCTTAACACCATCTTCATCATCACCTTCACAAGCTGCTGTGCGTAGTATTTTTTTAAATTCTACTCATTCTCTTCTCATTATTTTCCAAACGTCTTGTTATGCCTGTTACGCAAAAGTACTAATATTCAGGGGATATGTTAGCAGATACTTAAATGAAGAACAATGAAGTCAGCTTTTTAAGGTGCATTTAAACAGCGATGTATGCACATATAAACATAATAATGGAATGTGCCTAGGTGAAGACAGAGACTTCAAATTTCATCTTGAATACAGCTCAGTGTACAGACATTGGCCACAGGAAATGTTCGGTCACACACTTCCTTGCTTACCTTCTTTGTTACTGCAGGAGGAGGATGCAGTGTGAGCTGCTATGCAGGAAAATTGTCTTGGTCATAAATGCCCTTTCTAACTTCCCTGTTTGCTTCATAGGGAAAGCCATCCAATGGCTCATTCAGGTGCCAAGCCTCCTCTCCTTCTGTTCTTTTCATCTGTGATTAACATCATAATGAAATAAATGCAGTCGTGGTTCAACTTACCTTTTGCACATTTGTGCTTTGCAAAATGTTTAACCTTCAAACACGTTGAACAACTGGAAGTCAGGAATTAGACCCACACTGCTCATCTTTCTTTCCCCAGAGAAATGAATGACTGACAAAAGAAAGAGTAACGCATATACTTAATTTAGGAGATAGAGCTTAAATTAATTTGTTAATTAACACATTCTGCTTAAACCTCTTAAAAGATGTCTTTTATACTTCAGAGAAAAAGGAGGTCTGTGCTCTTTCAGGGAACTGGTTTGTTTTCTGTGCTAAATGTGAGGAGAATTACTTAGGAGTCAGTAATTCTTACCCCAGTGGCACCTTGATATTCTCAGCCTGCAGAAATGGTGATCCTGTCTTGGAATGCCATACATATATTCAAATATGTGCAGACTGAACAATGAAATTGCAATGAGTATGCTATGTACCTTGTGATAAATCAGTTTAATAAACCGTGAGCTATACTCATCAAATCTGAAAGCAGTAATGTGCTATCATTAAATCATTTATCTACATGCCATGTTGTTGATTCCTGTAATATGCACAACAAAATTAATTTAAGGTCATCCAACAGACTTTTTGCCTGTTGCAGTTTAGATACTAATTTTCTTTCTGAATCAGCAGAGGCAGTCTGTACTTAGCAGACTTTTATCTCCTTAAGTTAATAGGAAAAGTCCCATTGATTTTGATGATATAATGAAGAGTTGACTAAGTGATTTCATTACCGGTATTATTGGCTGATCTGGAAAAAATACAAACCCTGCTTGACAGTCTGTAAAACTACCAATAATTTTATTACTATAATGCATTTACTTTGAGAAAAAATCACCATATACATGGTCAGGTGTCATTCCCCTGTTGTCAGTAAAAGGGCATTCAGAGTACTTTTCACATCTTACATGCAGGCAGCAGATATTTGAGTAATGTGGTTGTCTGACTCTATGTTAGTAAAGAATTAGGACCCTAACTTCTTTTCTGTTCTCACCTAAGATATTTGAATGTTGTATACAGATATAATTGATGAGATTATTTCCTTGAAGAAAAAAGTGTAAATGTTGTCAAATCAACAGTTAGAGAATTAAAACAAATAAGCCTATTTAAAAACAACTACAAAACAAGCAAACAAACAAACAAACAAAAAAACACCAAGAAAAGTCAACCTGACTTTAACTCAAAACAAGGGCTGATTAGAATAGATGTCAGCATAAACGGAGTGTATCTTACTGATCTATACAGCAAAAGTACCTTCTAATTTACACTGTTGTACACTGAAAGAAAAAGACAGAAGGAGCCTGAGTGGGATCTCAGCACCTGTTAGCATGGTGTTCTCTGAGGTGAGATCATTATAAGTATAAAAGAAAAAGATTTTCTGCACTTCTGTGAATTACATTAGTCATTCAAGCCTAGGTATGTACTGAGTATTTAGGCAGACAATACATGGTAAAAATTTAAAGAAAGTTACCAAATGTCAGTTCATTTGAATGGATTGAAGGTGTGGGTGTTTCCATATGGGACTAAAGTTTTCGGGATGCTGAGATAGCATTTCTTAAACCTGATGAGGTTTTCTAAGAATTCATCCTACATTCAGTGAACAAGGAAAAGGATTGTTCATTTGTAATGGCTTGTCCAAATTAGACATCTTTTTAAATGCAAATATTAATGATTTAATTAACATATTTGTATACAAAAATTACAAATATTTTATCATTTCTTTATCATTTACCAACATTGACGTTGCCTAAACCTTTTTCTTTGCAGCAAAACTATGGTGCAAAATGCATTCCGGTACGAGACCGTGGCTTTCTTGTGCAGGTAGGATGTCATGTCTTACCCATTTTTGAAACATCCTTGAGCATGAGCTGACTGTTAATTTTTTTAAGCAGATGCTGTTATTCTCATTTTCATTGTTCTCAGACTATTGAATTTGCTGAGCAGCGGATACCAGTATTGAATGAATACTGTGTAGTTTGTGATGAACCGCATGTGTTCCAGAATGGCCCTATGCTGAGGGTAAGTTGTACACTTGCTGGGATAAACAATGCGTTTTCTAAAGCCTTAAGTAACAGTGGACCATATAAAGCTGTTAAAAACTACTGAATTATTTAAGATCCGTTTCATCCTAATATTCATTCAAGATGCAGAAATGCAATGCATATTAACTAGATTTTACTGAAATTTTGAAAAAAACACATTGCAAGGGAGATGGAAAGCAGGCTTATATGTAACTATAGAAATTTAAAAGAAGGATATATTTCACTGAATACTGTTACGCTATATGGTTGTAACCAGATAAGCTGTAGGAAGTGAGCTGGACTATTTTCACGGTCCCCTGGCATCCTTCTAAAATCTCAGGGTCACCTCAGACTTTGAGCTATCACAGTATTCAGATACTCTGGTGATTATGCTATGAAGTCTTGAAGTGCTTCTGGCCGTCATTTGCTTATTCACTGTAATGTGATAAAAAAGCCATGAGGAGATGTTCTGTGAAGTGTCTGATGTAGCAGTGACCTAGCTAGGGTAATGTTCAGCATGTCTAAGCTCCGTCTAGTTATACAGCTGTTCTTCAGTCCTGTCTGACTGAGAACCAGGAATTTTACGAGCTAAATGGTGCACCCTCTCATGCCATTGGGGACTGCACAAATTAGAAAAAAATAAGATTAGTCCTGAAAGACGCAGTTTGCCTGGAGCTACTAGATTAGTGCAACTTTGTGAAGGAGCATATAGGAGAATGACAGTAGAATCATAGAATGGCCCAAGTTGGAAGGGAACTCAAGGATCATCAAGTTCTAACCCCCTGCCACAGGCAGGGCTGCCAGCTGCTAGATCAGGTGCTAAATCAGATTGCCAGGGCCCCATCCAGCCTGACCTTAAACACCTCCAGGTATGGGGCATCCACATCCTCCCTGGTCAGTTTGTTCTGGCACCTCATCACCCTCTCCGTGAAAAACTTCTCCCTGATATCTAATCTAAATCCCTCCTCCTTTAATTTAAAACCATTTCCCTTTGTTCTATTACTATCTACCTGTGTAAAAAATTGCTTTCTCTCATGTTTATAAATTTCCTTTAAATATCGGAAGGCAGCAATGAGATCTTCCAACAGCCTTCTGTTTTCTAGGCTGAACAAGCCCAGCTCCCTCAGCCTGTCTTCATAGGCTCCAGCCCTCTGGTCATTTTTGTAGCCCTCCTATGAACCCTCTCCAAAAGCTCCACATCTTTCCTGTGTTGGGGGCCCAGACCTGGATGTAGTACTCCTGATGGGGCCTCATGAGGGCAGAATGGTGAGGGACAATTGCCTCCCTCTTACTTTCAGGAGGGACCTTGCAGTTTAGAATTCTTGTTTGACTTATACTGTGAAAACTTCTTATCTGAAAAGACATTAAGACTGTGGAAAACAGTATTTAATATCAGTGTGTAAATGATCTAATGTCTCATCTACCAGTTTTTTCACAATATGATCACCGATTACACAAGAATAGAAGCAGGCATCATCTATGATGGTCCTGTAGAACTAAATTCAGGAAGGTTACTGCTTATATAGTAGCAAAAGTAATGTCAGTCATCCCCTGTGTCACCAAGTGCTGCCACTGCTAGGTATTCCGACAGCAGTCAGCAAGTAGGCTGCTGTTAGGATTTGCAGAAGCATCTACAATTTCAATTAATACCAATTCAGGATATGTAAAACCTTTGTACTTCTAGAAATGCTATGAGGTGCTTATTTGCCTCCTCAAGCTCAAATCTGCTTTTTAAAAACATGGTTTTCCGTCAGATCTTGTCAGATATTAAAAGGCTATGGAAAAGGAACCAGTTCCTTGTCTTTTGTCTTCATGTATGCTATAACGCCTGCCACCTGTGACAGGATAAGACTGAGTGAATTAGAGAGAAAACTTAGATACTCTAATTATTTAAATGACTGGATTTTACCTATCATCCATAACACAAATTAAACAGTAGGATTTCTGATGTTCACACAATGAACTATTAAAAAGAAACAAATTGGAAAATCATCTGCTCTAAGTTAAAAAAAGCCCTTTGCTTTCCCACCTTAGAAATCAAAATTCCTCAGAATGACTTTTCTCTAGGACATTTTCTTGGCATAAAGAGGGGACATTTTTACCATCCTTTTGAGAGTTTGTCAGTGCTTCAAAACAGTGAAAAGTGAAAACGTGTTTGCATTAAACACATGTTCCTCAGTGCCTTTGCAAGCAGAATAACCTAGCAGGCTTTGCAAAAATAAAAGGATGTCCTTATGTAACCCAGAGAGATGAAGATAGCAGGAGGAAATCTAGCATGCTCTGTGCGTGCTTGAATGACTGCAGAAGCAATATAGAGCCTCCATTAATCAGTCTATAGTTCTGTAGAAGGTGAGAAAGGATACTGGTTTGAATATAGTTTGCTAAAGGATTCTGAGGAAATTTCTGCTTCGTTCTTCAGAAAGCTGTGGGAGAGTAGCGTATAGTAGTCAGCTTTAGGGTTTATATACATACTTTAGCTGCACATACATATGTGTGTGTATGCACCTGTGTTTTTGTATACATATAATATATAAAGAAAATACATGTAAAAGGAATGAGGAATGACCCAATTGAAAGAATACTTTGCATGTAGTGCTGCAACAACAGCAGATCTAAGAAATACAGTACTTTATTAAACAGAATGCCTGTGGGCTGTCATTAAGGGAAGGCCGCATAGGATCCAGCCTTATGTCATTTCATGTATCCTATTTGTAGTATCCCCAGCTTTCATATGAGGCTTTCGAGGGCTTGTGGTTTTGAGGTCATGGTGTCTTCAGTTGTCATAAAGGTCTGAACCTTGCTACTGTCTGCTTTTATTTTTAGATTCTGTGTCTTGATCCCATTTTCTTTAGATAACCATGCCTCAATTTCATTACATTGACAGGCTTTATTTAAAGCTGGTTCTACTAGATAACCATGCCTCAATTTCATTACATTGACAGGCTTTATTTAAAGCTGGTTCTACTGCAGAAGATGTCACCGACTATGTAACTCTGGATGAGTCCCTGTTCTCTTCCTTTAAGAAATAGTTCATGTACACAAATGCTTGTGGGGATCATATGTGTGTGTGTACGTGATGAGTTTTCTTTCACCCATTTGGACCTTTATTTAATGATAAGACATGTGAATTTAAGAAAACTTAGCAAAGTTATGGCTTGAGAAGTTCATTTTAAACATGTTTAGTCTAGATTTTCTGGTATTTATGCAGTTGCAAAGAAGCCAAACTCATTGATGCCAGTAAATAATTTGATTCTGCAGTACTCCTTGATGTCAGCCTGACACCTTTCCTGAACTTTCCTTAATTAATTGCCTTGAAATGCAGCTAAAAACTTTAACAGTTACCATCACACAATAATTACATTCTCTGAATAATACTTATCTCCTATGCCTTGGTGCAGTCTTTTGTGCTGCTTATTAAGGACTTGTGCAATTTCAGTGCCATCCTCAGGACTGATGAAGATTCCAAGTGAAGCTGTGGGATAATTTTCCTTTCTGGAGATTTGTATTACAACCTGTATTTTTACCTGGATTATACACTATCTTTTAGTCAGAATCTCGGTGCAAGCTTTCTTCTGAGGACTGAAATTTCTTTTCCTATATAACATTTTGTGGAGGTGATTTTTTTTAATATCTGTTTCAATTTACTTCTGCTTTCTTAAAATCTTGACATCTTTCCTATAAGATAAGAGTAACTTGATGACAATGTCATGGGTTTTTTTTTAATCGTTTAATTTAGACACTATACTCACACGGCAGAAGTACCATTATATGGAAGAAGTCTGTTGTAAAACAGTGAATAGCAAAATGGCATACTTTCAAGTTCATACTCATAAAATAGACCGTGTTTTGCTCTAGAGCTCACAGTAACAATGCATCCTGCTGGTTCAGGGATCCTGTAATAACACAGGAATTTTTGGTTGTGAGGCTTACTCTCTTATTGAGGATACGTAAAGAGGCTATCTTAAGAGAATTAAGAGGAAATTCTTAATATTTCACTTGGGAACTCCTGTTTGAAACAGATTATGGACCTTGCAGGACTAACAACCATCTACCTCTGGACTCTAAATGTTCCCCAATGTCCAGAAAAATTACCAACTAGATTCCCTGTATGTACTTCACAGCTGTATGCATAAATAGAAACAGAGTATATGGATGAACTTCAAAACAGAAACATAATTTTTTCACAGGGAGCTGTGTTTGGATTAAGGGGATAGGGAAGGGCAAAGGTTCTCTAGAGTGGTCAAAGAGTACAGTAGCACATCATGAAGTTGTAACATATTTTTATAAAAATCCATGGTTCATTATTAAATTCCACCCTTTAAAAAAAAAAAAAAAAAAAAAAAAAAAAGTCAGTGAAGTTAGCAATTCCTCCATGAAGGTATTCACACCTTTTCTATACAAGATGAGGGTCAATATGCATTCTCCTTATAGCTTCTTTCTTTAGTATCTATTTCAGGAGCACTGTAAGATCTAATGATTATTTGCTATACACCCAAAGTTATGAATGCTAAAAGGGATGCATAGAAATACATGCATATATAGAATGCCACTGAAAAATGGAAATTCCTTGAAATCACTTCAGGATATGTCTTTCAGCAAAAGCACAGTAAAAATTCAATGAATATATGGATCATAAGTAGGGTCCTTTTGCATACCATAGGCCATGGTATTTCATGCAGTTGTCTGTGATAATAACCTGAGTCCTGCATATTTCACTATGCAAAAGGATAGAGAAGTGGCCTTGAAATAAGTAGTGAGGTTTGGTACTGCAGACATTATATCCAGATCTCTCTCTCTCTTTTTTTTTTTTTTTTTTTGCCTGCAAAGAATCACAGAGAAACAGGCTGCTTCCTCCTGGAAGGCGACCTGTGTTGCACAGCTCTCAGGGACTCTGCGATCTGTCTCTTCTCAAGTAGCTCTTTGCTTAGCTCTGAAAAACAGTGGGAAGCATGAGGTCAGATATGAGTTTTGTGCTAAGAAGAAATGGAGAAGTTATAT